GGCTGTGGCACGCATGATCGACCCCTGCTCTGGGGACTCTTTAGGGTACACTTCTGGGGCGTACCCACTGAGCAGCAGTCTCCCAAGGAGATGGCCCAGCTTGGGTGCCAGCTCTGCTCGCTAGCCAGTCGTCGTGCTGTGACGAGCCCTCTGCTCCTCCCGGTTGGCAGTTGATGTATCTAAGCTGTCAATCAGGAAAACTTCAGTGAAGATAAGGATGACGGAGTCTTGCCAACAGCACGGCCGCTGTTATGCTGACTTCGTTTTTTTCCCCGACCCAATCTCGTGCTCACTTACTGAGGAGAGCAGGTGGTTAGCAAGGAGATGCCATGATGACACCGCTGTTCATCTCTTCACTAACGCACTCCACAGCGCCAAGCCTGGCTGGGCCACAGCTGCTGCTCATGTGTTTAAATGTAATCCTCAGGTACCACAGATCTCAGTCAGTCCCTCAGTAATAATTTCTCAAAATTAAAATGCCCGTGAAATATGGATAACAACCCTTGTCACAAAGTGCAGATCTCAGACGCACACCAGAGTTCATGGGCCCTGCATGAGCCTCTGATCTCTATCTTGCATGACGGATGTACTGTCAGAATTCCCTAGGTCCAGACAGGCATTGCTCTGGTTTTCGTCAGGCAAAACAAATGAGAAGTGAGGTCTCTGTGTTCCAATCTCTTCTAGGCAGCCCTAGCTGTCATGCTGACCTTGTAAGTTGGTTGGAAGGTGGTTGTAGTGGCAAAGTGAGGCCTTCTGTTCCTCATGACAGGCCCACCGTCATGATTCACTAGTTCTGTCCATCCCCAGGCTGGCTGCATGGCTGTCCTGTGGTGCAGTGCGGCCCTGGCCGCCCCACCTTCTCCCCAGCCCATTGATGTTTGCCAGAGGTGCTGAGTGAGTTCTTGGGGAAAAGAGTTTTCAGCAAATGGCACTGAGCCAACAGCCCCACATACAAAAGAAGAAAGTTGTCTCCCCACATCCTTATACAAAAAGGATCAAGTGTGTCAAAATGAATCTAAGGGCTGGTCCCAGTGCAGTGCTGTTTACAACTAACTGATCACAACCAGGTACAGATTTCTGTGCTCCTTCTCCACTCCCACTGCTTCACTTGACTAGCCTTTAAAAAAAAAATGAATCAAAGACCCAAGTGTAAGGCTAAAACTATAAAAAACTCAGGAGAAAAGAGTATTTGTTATGTCCTTGGGGTATTAGGTATTGTACCTATAGGTGTGCACAAAAGCACAAGAAACAAAACAAATTGCATGTTATTAAAATCCATGGTACATTATTAAAATCAAAACCCTTTGTGCTTCACAGGATGCCAGCAAGAAAGTGAAAGATGCTGGCTGACGCTCCCAGCACTCGGGAGGCTGAGGCAGGAGGACTGCCAGTTCAAGGCCAGCCTCAACTACATAACGAGACCCTTTCCAAAAAAAAGAAAATGAGAAAAATGGACGAGAAAAGTCAGGTTATATATAAGGGATTTATTATTTTTTCCAATTAGATTTTATTGGTACATATTAGATTTATGTAATGATCACATTCCTCATAGGGAATTTATACCTGTACAGGATATAACTTGTTTTTCTCCCCATTCCTCCCCTCCTCCCCTCCTCCCCTCCCCATTGGCATTCAATTTTTTCCAAATCCATATTTCAAGAATAAAAATTTTAAAAAAGAAGAAGAGGAAAAAACTGCAACAAAATTTCAAAACATGTCAGTCGGGGGACAGTGGCACATCCATTGCGTGTTCCCAGGTCACTCACCCGGGGCACATCTGCATCCAGCTGTCCACACAGTACCAGCACGAATCTTTCTCTTCAGCTCAGAGAAATCAGTAGTATAACCATCTTGACTCTTATTTTTATAGGTTTTTTTCTGTTGGCTTCTTACACTAATGAAACAATATGAAGCGTGACACACAGTTTTCAAAAGGGACCTGAACTCTGGGATTCTATTGTGAAGAAAAGGTGGTTTGCCCTCGTGGTCAGGGCTCCTTCTCGGTCCCTATTTGGCGTCCGGCTGTGCTTTCTCAGACTGTTTTGGTTCAGTGCTTTTGTGTGTCTCTCCTGTTGCACTTCAGGGTTTTCTTCGGGACACAGCAGGATGGGGACAGGGATGCAGAGCAGGACGCGGACAGGACGGGAGCTTTGGCTGTACGGCTGGTCACCATCATGATTTCATTTCTCCCTAGTGCTGGGGAGACAGGCTCTGTCTCCACCACCCGCCCCTGCCTGCTGCACTCTGCCCTCTGGTCACTCCAACAAGGTGTCTTTTATCCTCTTTGTTTTCCAGAGCTCCAAGGAGACACCTTGTCAGAAGTTCACTTCTGTGACTGAGGATATGTCTTGCAAAAGAGATCTAGTTGTTTTAAACCCTTTACTGAGGGAGTTCATCAAATACCTAGGAAAGAATCACCTCTGGAGGAAGGTGTCACTGCTGTGGCCAGACACTTCTCTGTCTCCTAAGGGCGGCTGTATCAGCCAGACTTCCTGTTGCAAGACTCAGTGTCTGATATGCACAGTGTAAAGGAGGAGAGGATAAATTTGGTTCCCATTTCAGGGAATTCAGTGTGCGGTGCACCGTTGACCAGCTCCGAGGCAGAAACATCAGGACAGAAGGAAGTGGTGGAGCAGAGCCGATCAGCTCCTGGTGGCCAGAAGTCAGAGAAGAGGACCAGAGGGGGAGGGGTGCAGGCCCTGGGGTGTAACCAAGGTCACCCCTCCATGACCTACCCGACACACCCACAAGGGTGCACCACAAATCCCTGGGTGGTTCCCAAAGCCCGTTTGACAGGTCAAGTTTAGCCACCACCACAGCTAAAAAGATCACCTGAGATGCTGTCTGCATGCGACAACTCGCGGTGAAGTTCTGTCCCTTCCCTTCCCGTATTGTTTTGTCACCTCTCCCACACTGTCTACTCTTTGATATCACTCATTTATCAAAAACTCATTGACCACCCCTTACCTGACTGCAGCCGTCTTTCCACTTTCCCTGCTGTGAGGAAGACATTCACCTTCAAGCTTCCTGCCTTTCTGTGAGTTTCGCATTGGCATGGCTTTTGTGCTCATCCGTGTTTGTACGTCAGCTTTTCCTTGCTGTGACACGGTACCTGAGACACACAGTTTATAATGAGGAAGAGTTTATTCAGGCTCACTTCAGGAGCTGCCGTCCATGGTTGGCTGGGCCGTTGTTTTGGGGGTCTTGGAAGTGTGGGACAGAGGAGGCCAGACACTCAGGGTGACGAGGAACCAGAGAGACGCAGGGGCTCTGGTCCCAACACCCCCTTCAGCCCCTGGTGACCCCGCTTCCTTTCAGGACCCCTTGGCCCCAGGGCTCCACCCACTCACAGTAGCACCAGAGGCTGGCGTCTGAGCCTTGAGCATACAGCCTTTGGGGGCATTTAGGGTCCAGCATAGCACAGATATGAAACGAACGTGTATTGTGTTTTCTGTTACTCTGTCCATGGCTGGCCTTCGCGGAGAAACCTGAAAGACAGAAAGGGAATCTCCTTTGCCTTCCACCAGCCTGGGGGCCTTATGTTGAAAGCTGATCTTTTTTTTTTTTTTTTTTTTATTAAGCTGATCTTTTCTGAGACAGTTTTGTGTCTTTAAAATGAGGATTCAAGGAAATAATACAATACATTCCTCTGCCTGGTGTGTCTTTAGTATCAACCAGTGATAGCGAAGCTTTTAGAGACCAGGTGCCCAAGCTGCAACCCGAAACCCACTGGTTTACAGCAGAATATAATCACTGCAATTAAACATGAACGCTGAGGTTTTTGCTTAGCAACAACTCATACATTACCATCTTTTGTCTTAAAAGAAAAATAAATAACACATACCATAAGTTCACCACCACTGGTAGAGACCTTAGCAATACAAGAGTGACCGGTCTGTGGCTTCCTGAAAGCCCAGGACTTCTTGTTCCGGAGGTGTACTGATATTGCACATGAAAATAAGAGAGAGAACTCTGCGGGCTTGAGGATTGTAGGTACTTTATAAATTTAGACTTTTTTTTACTTATAAAGTAATAGACATTTTAAAAGTTTCTAGTACTAGAGAAAAATCACTCATACTCCTACTGTAATTAGTATTACTATAATTTTCAGTTTGGGCATTTTTTGGGTGAATTTATTTTTTGTTTTGTTTTGTTGGCTTTTTTGGTTGTTTTCATTGTTTGTTTTGAGACAGAGTTTTGCCGTGTAGTTCAGGGTAGCCATGAACTCACCATACAGCCCAGGCTGGGTTCAAACTTGTGATGCTCCTCCTGCCTCAGCCTCCCAAATGTGGGATTGCAGGCATGGGCCGCATGCCAGGGTGGCTGGATTTATTTTAACGTGAATGTTTGTTTATAAGTATAGTCAATGAGCTGCCTTCTTTGTAATTCTAACAGTTTTTGTGCCCTACTTTCCCATTTGACATTCTTTTTTATTGTTTAGTTTTATAAATATGGGGAAAAAAGCAATACTTTTATTTTGTTATCTGCAAATCTTCTTTCGTACTCCTGTATTTTTATATCTACTGAGATAATATAATAAAGTGGCGTCAGCTAAGATGCCTTAGCTTTATAGTGGCTATGCATAAAAGTCCAATTTGTGTTGAAATAACAACTTCAGGAAACTGGTAGGAATTATTGCTGTTTCTTTTTTAAAGCTATTTTAAAAAACTAAATGGGGGCCAGGGATTTAGCTCAGCAGCATAAGCACCTGCCTTGCAAGCATGTGGTCGTGAGTTCAATCCCCGGTACCATAAAAACTAAAACAAAAACCCCTAAATGGCGGGTTATGTGTGGGTTCAGCGCAGTGGCAGAATGTGTGTGTAGTGCGTACAAAGTCCTGTTCAATCTCCAGCACCAGAAACATTACAAAGCCACAAACAATAAATGATAAACGGAGTATGACTATAAGGAGAATGAGTTTTCTAGATAATGTACGTGCAGTTAGAAACAGGGAAAATGGTTGGGTGTAAACTGAACTGATTTCTTCTGTTTAATTGAAGGTCCATTTTAGCTTCTTATCTCCTGAAGGAGAAGCTCAACATCTTGGGCAAATTGGGGTGCCTGCTGAGCTGCGCGGGTTCCGTTGTGCTGATCATCCACTCCCCAAAGTCTGAGAGTGTGACGACACAGGCTGAGCTGGAAGAGAAGCTGACCAACCCAGGTAACTCCGCGCTAGCGCTGCCCGAAGTGCAGGCTTCATGAGCCACACTGCAAGCCAGCCCTGTGTCCGCTGTCACCTGTCACCACAGGGCCGCCTTCTGTTGTTGGGCGGCTGTGTTTGCAAGTCAACCCCAGCTGTGCAAAGGCAGCTTCTGTCTGGTGATGTCCTGTGTGCACGGGTGCCCTAAGCACCTGGGAGCCCTGGTCGGCAGGAAGATGGTCAGCACCCAGCCTAGCCCTCCCACCTGCAGGGGCTTCCTTCATGGCTTTGGGTGCAGTGGCTCCTTCTTGAGCCCTACAGCTCCTCATGCCTAGGCATGCTTTCTCCCCGCAGAGACTGCCTGGGGCTTGGGACTCCGCTCTGCCTGGCTCCTCCAGCCCCTGCACTGCCTCAGTGTTTTCTGTCAGATCCCCTTCCCTGGGATTCTCCACTGCGGTGCTCATCCCCGGGACTACTGCCCAGCCCTTCCCCTCCCTGCAGCTCTTCCTGCAGACCTGCTGGCGAGGCTCCCATGGGCTCTGCTCCCTCTTCCCCTGCTCACCTGCTGATAGGAAATTCAGAGTGGAGACAAGGCTTTGTGTTTATGTGTATTTGACATAAAATAACTTCGAATTTTTGACAAGTGCTGTAAAAAAAAAGTACACTATTGCACCCACTTTAAAGAAAGATTTCCTGAGCTATGTCCACTCAGTCACCCTGTGCTCGTCACTCACAGTTTTGTCTAGATCCGCACACAACACTGTCTTTATACAGACGTCTCCGGGCCCCGGATCTGGGAGGCCCTTTTGTAATGATGAATGTCCTTTCATAATGATGAATGTAGAAGCGAACCACTGTAACTTTATACAGGAATCCATAGTGAAATTAGCCCAGATTATGCATCTCCCTGTGCTGTTTTATCTGTCATACTGAGCATTGTGATACTGACTTACTTCTAGAAGCCAAAATGTTCCAGTAATAGTAGCTAGGTGGGTACACAGACAGTGGAAAAGGCAGATCAAGAGGCTACTTTTGTTTGTTTTCTTTTTTGGCAGTGGTAGGAACTGGACTCAGAGACTTGTGCATGTGCCCTGAGCTGTAGCCCGTCCTTATCGTGCCCCTCTAATGCATGAAACAGATTTAAATACAGTATATAAGGGAGTAAGTACTTCCATGAGACTAGGATTTCACAGAGGTGAATAATTAGGGGGAAAGTGTAAAATGTTTCCTAAAGGGGTGATAATGAAACAATGCTTGAACACAAGTGGAAACCCTCACAGAGCTGCAGGCACCTGGCTGCCTGCTCTAATGTGTAAGAAACAGGCAGATTCCCTAGGTGTGCGTTTTCTTTCTGAGCCGCCCAGTTCTTACACAGACACGAGTCTGTGTCCCTGTGCCCACAGAGGCCCCTGCCCACTCCCTAGCTCGGCGGCCACTGACCATCTTTCCCTGCCGTTCGCAGCTGTTGTGGGTGCTAACCTTTCTGTGCCCCAGACATCTGCACCGGCTGGACGCCTGGGACCTCTGAGATGCGGTCCCTTCACAGAGGCTGCAGCTACTCCACACTCCTCCTCTGCTCCTCCTCCCAAGGCGGTGTCTGCTCAGGTGCATACAGGCTGCTTCTGATTATCTCTGTCTCCAACCCTGGACCCGCCCCACAGGCAGAGTGTTAGGTTTGCTTCCATCTCTGCTCTCCATGGCCCCTTCCTCAGTGTTACTTGTTTTTTTGAAGCTAGAACTTGAACTCATTAGCCCAGCCGTGGCCTTGCAGCCGTCCTCCTGCCGTGGCCTCCCACGTGCTGGGCCACGTCATGCTCGTCCTTTTCCCTGTTTGCAGTCGAGGCTCCCAGGAAACTGCCCCTTCACTGTCCTTCCTTGCAGCCTTCCTGAGTCCCCCCGGAGCGGGGCCCCATCGCTCCTTTTCCTCACCTCTCAACACCAGGCTGTAGCTGCCTGCTTGCTACTTTGCATGTCTGCTTTGATTTATCTGTCCACACCTGCTTGCTCTCTGTCCAGGTAGTACCTAGCCGTGGGAGGCCCAGTACCCTTTGTATGCTTTGAGTGGTCTGGGTGTGGTGCATATCCCTGTAATCCCAGCTCTGGGGAGGCTGAGGAAGTGGGATGGCCACAAGCTGGAGACCGGTGTGGGCTACATAGCAAACCCTGTCTCAAAAAGCAATTTCATCAAAATGCAACCTCTTCCTGTACAAATTTCAAAGCGATGGATAGAATGCCAGAGTTGCAAAATGAAGGAAAAGCAGCAGGGTGCTACCTTAGACATGATCAGGCTCAGCCGCAGAAGCAGGCAGGTGAGCCCAGCAGCTCCACCCCACACACGGAGCCAGCTGCAGACTGTTTCAGACGGGACCTTGCCATCAGCAGCAGACCCCTGCGATGGAGCAGAGTAATGTCCCCGCAGTTTACTAGGAAACTGCATTTCTTGAAAATTCAATGTATGGGAAATCCATACAAAATACTTTTTGTACATAAAATAGGTTCTAGGCTCTGATGACTGTAACCAGATTTTTCACTTACAAGACCAAGGAGATAGACAGAAGTCATAAGAACGGATAATTTACGGTTTGTGTAGCTCTGCAATGCCTCCGTCCATGGTATGCCACCTCCTCCACTGTAACAGGCATGGAAACTCCTGTTACGGTTTAAGATTCCCGTTGCATAGCCCATATGATCCACTCCAGCACCATCCACCTATCACAGCCATTCAGTAAGGGTCCGTGGGATTGACTGGAAAGTAAGAAAACCCATCTGGTAGCCAGGCGCAGCAGTACAGGCCTGTAATCCCACCACTCAAGAGGCTGAGGCAGGAGAATCACAGGTTCAAAACCAGCCTTAAAAAAAAAGGCTGAGGCAGAAGCCTCACTTAAGCCTTCGAGTTGATTGGCCTGGGCAGCATAACAAGATGCCATCTCCAAAAACAAACAACAAAATAACACAAAACAATTCACCTTATTTTTTTAAAGCTTTTTTTTTTTTTCTTAATCGGTACCGGGGATCGAACTCACGACCATGCACTTACAAGGCACTTACAGGTGCTTATGTTGCTGAGCTAAGTTCCCAGGCCCCTGAATAGCTTATTTTTAACAATAAATAAAATCTATGTTGATGTCTAGTATTTTTAGTATACAAATGGTATTAATAGAGGACCATATCAACATATAGGAGCTATGAAATTTTGGGGGTGTGTTTCACATTTTTATTGGGGGCCAGAGGGAAGGGGACTCTGTTCCTCCAAGCCATCCTGAGATTGTACCATGTTGGCATCATCTTGGAGGGGTAGAGGGTAGCTTTAGTTGTGGCCTGGTTGATCATGATGGCGCACTTGGTATAGGACTGTGTGGGAGGACACAATTGTCGTGAGACCCTGATGGTGAAGGACATAACCAGCGCTGACCCTAGGCATTCTTGGGAAAGTTATGAGTCTTGTTTCCTTGTGGCTGCCACAGCTTACAGCGATGTAATACCCACCCAGGGCCTTGCACAGTGGGTGTTTTATCTTTGAACTACATCCCCAGCCCCTGAACGTTATAATGGTGAATACAGCAATGGGAGTAATTTTTGTAGAACAGAATTGGTGGATCCAGTAAACTCGAGCCAGAGCCCTCAGAAGCACCCTCACTGTCTTAGGCACTGCCCTTCTGGACGGCACTGCCTTAGCTCTGCCCTTCTGGATGGTGGCCAGTGGGGGCAGCCTGGATCACCATGTGCCATCTGTCTTGCAGTGTTTGTGGGCTACCTGTGCATCGTACTCCTCATGTTACTGCTGCTCATCTTCTGGATTGCGCCAGCCCACGGACCCACCAACATCATGGTCTACATCAGCATCTGCTCCTTGCTGGGGAGTTTCACCGTGCCTTCCACGAAGGGCATCGGGCTGGCAGCCCAAGACATCTTGCACAACAACCCTTCCAGCCAGAGAGCCCTGTGCCTGTGCCTGGTACTGCTGGCTGTGCTGGGCTGCAGCATCATTGTCCAGTTCAGGTACATCAACAAGGCACTAGAATGCTTCGACTCGTCCGTGTTTGGGGCCATCTACTACGTGGTGTTCACCACACTGGTCCTGCTGGCATCGGCCATCCTCTTCCGCGAGTGGAGCAACGTGGGCCTGGTGGATTTCCTGGGCATGGCCTGTGGATTCACGACTGTCTCTGTGGGGATCGTCCTCATACAGGTGTTCAAAGAGTTCAATTTCAACCTTGGGGAGATGAACAAATCCAACATGAAAACAGACTAGGGTGCGGCCAGGGGTTGGGGGCTGGAGGAGCAGGCCTTGGAGGTGGCTGCTGGCCTTGACTGGATGTGAAGTAGCAGAGACCCTCAATCCCTGGTGCGACAGTATCTGTGTGCTCACGGGTGGCCTGGTGGACACGAGGAGCCTGGCTCGACACTGGACCGGACCCAGCCCTGAGCAGCCCAGATTCCCAGTGGTTGCCTGGGCGTCATCTCTCTGATGAGATGAATGTCATTCGCATTTCCATTGACCTGGAAGCTTTCATGACTGCTCTTTCCTTTTAAAATATTTTAACATGACCTAATCAGAAAAGAAAGGGGGCTCTTCCTGGTTAGTCTTTGCAGGAGAGCAAATGTTCTTAGATTACTCTGGAAACAGAAGAAATTGTCTTGAAATCGGGCTGTGTATAGTAATGTGACTGTAGTTGTGTTAGTTTGCATTAAGCATGTATAATATTCAGGAACCTCATTCAAAATAAGAGGCATATGTTGCATTCTTTTTAATCCTCTAACAAATTATCTTCTGCACTCACCCCAAGACATCTTAATAGCAGGTAGAGAAGAGTTAGTGAATGTGATGCAGTATTTCATTGGCAGGATGACTTCTCAGTAGCTCAACTCAATTCCAGTGCCTTTATCACTTGAAGTATTCACTTAATTTACAGTTACTATGTGTATGTTCTCTTAGATTAGAATAATGCCATTTCATTGGTTATCCATTTATATTTCAATGTTCAGATTACAAATATGTAAATCAGTTTAGAAATAGTAGCATAATCATCGGGAGATAGTCAAAACTAAACATACCTTAGAGCAAATGGACCTGTTCAGCATGTAGTTATTGTCTAATTAGAGACAGCTAATTAGCATGAGGTATTTTATTTTCATTCAAGCTGTGTACCTGGGACCCAGTATCAAATATATTTATAGGGTTTTTTTCAGCAAGCATTTGTCACTAGTTGGAAGAAATGAACTATTTAACTTGATAATAAGTTTACATGAGGGAATAACTGTTCAATAGCACATGTATTGAGAGTCCTTTAATACAACAAATTAAAGGACACAGATAGGCTTAAGATGAGTCTACAAATTACAACACACATAGTTTTCAGAGGAATATATATCAAAGACGCAAGTAACTAACCAGCCATCTCATTGTTTGAGATGTTATTTGAGAGTTCTGCAACCAATCTCTCATAAACATTTTGAGTATACACAAAGACAAGACAAAACAAAATGAAAGGCTGCCTAATATAAAAGAGCCGACCATTGTGGCAGGGTTTGAATCAAAAAGGCCATTCCTTCTTCGGTCTGTAGTACCCTTCCGTGTGTGCGAACCTGGGGCGAAGCAGGGAGTGACGCGGATAAGCCGAGCAGTGTGAGCTCCACCAGCATGCTCCGTGCAGACGGAGTCTGCCCCAGCGAGACGGGGCTGTGTACAGCAGAGCGGCGAACGTGAAATTTAATAATAATTAAACTTATTCACTCAGGAAAAAAATACGCTTTTCTAGGCAAAAACATTTCTAGAATAAACATTCAAGGAGTAGTTCTCTCAAGTATGGAACAAAGAAGCTAAATTAAAAAAAAAAACTAGCTTAACATAAAGCCACAAAATACTTGTAGGAATTAAAAATACAATAATCTTGGTTAGGATTTTTGAAAAGCAGCAGTGAAATTATTTAAAGTTAAAACGTTATTTATGGAGTGCTCAGAACGATTATTTCTGTTTTTATCAGCTCTTGAAGGTTTTTTGTTTAATCGGCATTCTTAGGAATGCAGGCCTTAATTTACTGAACTCTGAATATAAGTGAAAGCGTTATGTAGCAGGATCAGCACACAAAAACCGTTCCTCAGGTAAGGAGCTTGAAAAGAACATGTGCAGCTGCACAGCACGAGAAGAGAGTCCGTAATGTAGAAGCCATGTTTATTTTGCCGTCACCTGCACGCGAAGCAAGTTTAAATGCATCTGTTAGTTAGTGTCCTTTGTTAGACCGAGGCTCTTCAGAGGTGACAGTTCCTGGATGCTCTTCCTGTGGTGGTTTTAAGAGTAAAGCAGAAGGCCAGTGTTCACGTCCCTCTCTTAGAGGTGTCCGCCTGGAGCAGTCCACTTCTCTCCAGTTTCTGTCCGTTGAGCAGATGCCCTAGTGGAACAGTTTGTGTTGCTTTCAAGTGTGCGACAGTGCCCTCCGAGTAGCTGAACTGACCGGTGTCTAATGATCTGATTTTCAAGTTGAACACAGGAAATATATTCAGGTTTAATATGATTTACTTTACAAATTCATTTTCTTACAACTCATTTGCAAATACAAAGAAAGAAAGTGCCCTGAAGTGAGCTTTAAGGGAGGGCCATTTGGAGCTGAGTCTTTGATTAGTCCTTCAAAGGTAAACACAAAGCCTTTTCATTATATAATACTTTGGGTTTTATCTCTGATAAAACTCAGGAAAAGCTGGACACAGTGGCGCATGCCTGTAATGCTGGCACTGGGGGAGACTGAGCCTGGAGGATTGTGAATTCAAGCCCGACCTGGGCAACTTAGTGATTTAGCAAGAGCCTGTCTCAAATTTTAAAAAGTTTGAAAAAGGCTGGGGATGTAGCTTAGTGAGACTCTAGATTTAATCCCCAGTACTGGGGGAGTAACCCACCTCACACAACACAAAAACAACTAAGTGAAAAGACTTAGTTTGCAAATGTACTTGTTTGGAAGTCCTATTAAAATCAAAGTTTTTTAAAATAAAAATTTGCAAACTTCTCTCTCTTTTTTTGACACAAGGTCTCGCTATATAGTCCACACTGGCCTTGAACTTAATTTCCTAGCCCAGGCTGGCCTCAAACTCATGGTGACTCTCCTGCTTCCCTCCCAAGTGCTTGGATTATAGGCACGCACCACTGTGCCTGGAACAGAATTACTCTTGGTAGATACTTGAAGAGGCCATTTTTCTTGTCTCCTACTTAAGTGCTGTCCTGTTTATTTCATCTAATTCTTTGCATTTGGAAAGATTGTTTCCCATTCTGCTTATTGATCAAGTGCAGGCCCATTTAAGGATTCTAACCCAACCCAACCCCGGGGGCATTTTCTCTCATCGTGTCCTCTCTTGGAGGCTCTGCACAGGAGGGCAGTGTTGCCCAGGTTGGGCCCTTGGGGAGCAATCTGGTTTTCTGGTGGCCTTGCTCATTACTCAGTTGTCACCACAGTGACATTCCTGTTTGGGTGTTCCTGCAATGTACTTCACTGCTCTCTGCTCAGCAATAAAAAACATTCCTTCAGTCCTGCCTAGGAAGCCAGTTTATTCACTCAGTTTTATTTCCAGAGTTAGTCCTAACAGTGACATGTTGGTCTTTGCTCTTCCCTGGGTTTTGTCTCTGTTTTCTTATAGAAGGGAACACTGTTCAAAGGTGCAGTCACTGTTCCTCTTCTTTTTTTCTAGAAAGCTCAGCTCTTGGTAAATATTTTGCTCAGCTCTCAGAAGTCAGTTTGTAAAGTGTTCAGATGCAGTCTCTGGGGTGGAAGAATGCTCAGTCTGTGAGACAGGCGTCACTGAGCACGGGCTGTTGCCCGGCTATGCGACTGTTGCTGTCGTTTTGGGGTTGAGGCCGGGGCTGGTGCCTGCTGGGCGAGCCGTCTGCTGTTGAGCTGTACTCTTAGCTGTAAACCAAGATTTACTCTGGCATTGCTTGTTGGTTTGTTTTGTTTTGAGGTGCTGGAGCTCAAATGCAGGGCCTCAACCATGCTAAGCAAGTGTGCTTCTACCACTGAGCTGCATCCCCAGCCCCTGCTGCTAACTCCTGTCAGGAGATGACACCTCTCTTTCCCAACTGCTCCACCCATGTAGAAGAGTGGAGAGGATATTCCAGTGGCCTGCAGAGCCCTTGGCGTTCTCTGATGCCCACAGAACCTGTTTCAGCTTCCCATGACCCAGTAGGACACTAGAAAAAGGAGAGCACTTTGACTGATGGTTAGCTCCTTGGACGGAGCTGCTGTCCTAGGGCATCAGGCAGCACGGAGGTTGCACACCCTTCCAGCAGGAATGGACGGGCTCTAGTGTTCTTCTTTCTCAGGGACCCAAATGTATCAGTTCACTGTCGACCTTACTTCCAAGGACGCGTCCTTGTTTCTGTTTTGTGTGTTTTACTGATAATCATATTTTGTTAACTTGTGTTGGCGAGAAAAAAGACCAGTTGGCACACCGTCACATCACAAGGCAGTTTACCACATAAATACCTCAATTTTTTGTATTTCTTATTTGCATTTCACAGCTGTTACTGGTGATGAGTTTTAAGGGTCTGTCGTTTGATCATAGGTGACTTCACATCTGGCCAGATTCTTGTACCTCTACTGTATACTTGAAAAGATTAAGAATTATAGGAACAGGAATGAGAATTTGGCCCATGCCACTACTTGTTTATTTTCATATGCATTTCTCATATGCTGTTAAATGTAACAAAATAATTATATTTTAAGAAAATGTAACCTTTGTTACATCAAAATATATTGTCTGATAAAAGACTTGATATTCAGTAGAGCAGTGATCATGTAAATAAACCTGTATTTCACATGTACCCAAAGTGATTAAAAAAGCGGAGCCTAAGGCCTAGAACTAAGGAGGAGTTATTTCTTTTCTCTGTTTTTCCCTGAATTGTGCAAATATGGGTGAGTTGCTTAACCTTTCTGTGCCTCGTTTTTTCTACCTCTAGAGTGTTGGGATGGCTCTCCAGATTCACGGTTTCCGTGCCGTTTAGCACTTGGCAGAGCTCAGGGGGCCTTGGTGAGAGCGGCGTGGTGGAACTCGGCTCGCGCTGACCATGCAGTCTGCCCTGGACGGAGCCCGGGGGCACAGGGCCGTGGGCACGAAGCAGTGAAAGGTCACGTGACTCCTTGAAGCTGTAATTTCCCCTTGTGTGTTTTAAAAAGGATTTTGTATATTCTGTTGTAAAATGTGGAGATTAAATTGGGACACTAGACACTGCCCTGAGTGGTCACATCCTAAAGGTGTGACAAGCTCCTCTTGCCATCCCGCTGAGGTCTGAATTCTGCAGGTTAGATGACTGATGAATTCTGTCCCCGAGATTGTAATGAGTAGTGCTGAACTTCCTCCTTGAAGCAGCTTCAGCTAGACGATGAACTCTGACATCAGTGACTGTCAGGAGCTCCTGACCACTTGTGCCAAAGGGCCATGTTGGAAACTTTGGAGTATTTCTTTTGTTAGAATATAATCATTTGCTCCCCACCCCCACTCAGTGGTTTTGCATTTTACAAAATTTAGCAGTGTTGTTTTTCAGTAGTATTCCTGAATGTTTTACCTTTTTAAGTGATAGCTATTATTTCCTTGTGAAATGGAATAGGATCATGAAGACAGAAGGCTAGATAAAAAATGTCAAGTGTCGATATTGGTTGCATACAATTTTTCCATGTCAGTGCATCAGAGGAGTTTCTGATTAACACACATCACTCACCCATCAGTGGCTAAGACTTGCTTATATTTTGCTTTATAGAAGTAGTCATGGCATGATGTACTTGCCTTATGTAAATACAAAAGGCTATTTATTAAGTTTTCCAATAATATTTATTAATCTGTATAAGTTTTAAAATAAAATAACTTATTTCTAGCTGAACACTTGTTGGTGTTTCCCTTTGCTTGAAATTCCTTTGTAGTCTCAGGTTCCAGATCATCCCAGTTCTTCACATTTTCTCACTGTTGTCAGCCTGTATATCGGTCTTGGGGGTAAATCCCTGGTGTGTGAAGAAATTCATTATTCTGTGACAATCTCCTGAATCACCGAGATGACGATATTACAGAAAACTAGCTCGGTTTCAAAGCCTTTACATATTTTTGAGTTACATAATATTTATTATTTTATATTTTAAGCCCATAGAAATTGAAGAGAACCATATACCTATAATCCTGGCACTCTGGGAGGCCGAGGCAGGTAGATCACACGCTTGAGCCCAGGCTGAGCATTTATGTTGGTTAAGAGGCTGTCTCAAAAAGGAGGAGGAAGCTAGTGGTGGCACATGCTTGTAATCCTGGCACTTGGGAGGTTGAGGCAGGAGAGTGTTTGCAAGATTTAGATTAGCCTGGGCTACAAAGTGAGTTCAAGGCCAGCCTGAACTGCATAGCAAGATCCTGCCTCAAAAAGTCCCCTCACAAATGGAGGGGGACCTGAAGATGTAGCCCTAGACTCAATCCCCAGTACCAAGGAAAAAATTTAGAAATTTGTGACACATTTTAGTATACCAGGCATCATCAGAAGTCTTATCATTAACCTGTAAGTGTTTTTGTTCTTGTTAATTTTTGGTGCTGGAAGTGAACCCAGAGCTTGGACCACACTGAGCACACACTTCAGCATGGAGCCATACCATCCATGGCCACAGTTATTCCATGAAATGAGAAAAACATTTTCAGCAAAAAAGATTCTTTTCTTAGGTGTGATCCAAAGAGATTTAATGCACACATTTTAAAATCCTTTCTCATCTGGAATATTTCTTAAATTTTCTTAGCAAAAACTGTATCTTCATATATATAACTTTTTTTGACACAGGTTCTCTCTATGCAGTTCAGGCAGGCTTTGAGCTCACTTTGTAGCCCAGGTTGGTCTCAAACTGCAACAATCCTCCTGCCTCAGCATCCCGAGTGCTGGGATTACAGGTGTGAGCCACCATGCCCAGCTGTAATATTTTAACATCCTTTTTTTGTCTATTTATGTTCCCTTCTGCCTTGTTTTTTCCTTATTTTACATTCTGAAACAATACCAAAATGACTGTTTCTTCTGTGCTTTCTTTAGTGTTTTATTATCAGACAGAGATTAATTCTTTTTTAAAAATTAAGTTTATTGGTACATTTTAGGTATCCATAATGATTACATTTATTATAGGGAATTTGTACCTGTACATGATATAACTTGGATTTTATTTTGTTTTTTGAGGCAGGGTCTCACTATGTAGCTCAGCTGGGCTTGAACTCACAGTGATCCACCTGCCTCAGCCTAGTGAGTGCCGGATTACAGGTGTGCATTAATTTCTTTTTTGTATTCTTTGTATATAGAGTCACACGTTAACTGGAGTTTTACTATTTTTTTCCTTCCCTTGTGCTGGGGATCCATCTGGGGCCTTTGCACTGTGCTGCATCCCCAGTCATTGTTGTACTTTGTATTGCGAGGTGTGTCTGTCTAAATTTCTGCGCTGCCCCGCTGGGCTCTAGATAGCCGTCCTCTTCCTGCAGCCTCTGGCTGCTGGTATTACGGGCCGAACCTGGCTCCCAGTCCTTTTGGTAGCTCCTACTGTAAGTCATGGTCTTGTTCAATCACTAAGTGGCCCAGGCGGGGTTTCACCTTCCCTCCTGCCTGAATTTTACTCTGAACAATTTCACTTTTTAATAAAGACCCAGGAAGAAAGTGGTCTCACAATGCAGTTCAGGCTGAACTCACAGCAATTCTACTTCAGCCTCCTGAATGCTGGATTACAGGCATTCCCCCAGTGCCTGGCTTGGGTTATTTTTTTATATAGCAATACTTTATAAAAATAGATTTGTAAAAGGCTCAGAGGTTATCTTTTCAATAGAAATTAAAAACCCAAGAGTACATTTATATGGACATTTCAGTATGTTACTTACAAATGACTTTGTTGTTGTTGTTTTTTTTCAATTTTTTTTTTTTTGTCTTTTTCATTTTTATCGGTAGCGGGGATCAAACTCACGGCCGCCTGCTTGCAAGTCAGGTACTTATGCCGCTGAGCTAAATCCCCAGCCCTGTTGTTGTTGTTTTGAGATGGGTTCAGCCTTGTGGTTTACCCAGCCTTGAATTACGTAGCCAGGCTGGCCTTGAACTCACAGGGGTCCTCTTGCCTGAGCCCCTGAGTGCTGGAATTACAGGAGTGCACACCATGGGTGGCTCAACAAGGTTTTTAGCTGGAGGACAGGGACAAAGTCAAGAAGCAGCCATACATATCTAGGGACTTGTATCTGTATTAGCACTTTTTTTTTTTTTTTTTTGGTCTTTTTCGTTTTTTTATTGGTACCAGGGATCGAACTCACGACTGCCTGCTTGCAAGGCAGGCGCTTATGCCGTTGAGCTAAATTCCCAGCCCTGTATTAGCATTTCAAAGACGAGATTAATTTTAGTGGAGGCATTAGAAGAGCTGAAGTAGAACTGAACCACGGTGACAGAGTGGACCGGAGCAGAGAGGGAAGGTCAGACGAGCTTGCCTGGTTATAAAGCTGCCTCTTTTTTTTTCCAGTACTGCTGGTTGAACCCAGATCCTTCCTCAACACTTTGTGTTTTGAAACAGGGTCCAGCTGAGATGCCCAGGTGGGGCTGAGCTTGTAATCCTCCTGCATCAGCCTCCGAGTGCTAGGACCACAGGTGTGCATCACTGGGGTCTGGCTGATGTCGCATCTTCTCATGTTTAGTGAAGATATCTTCTCTTCCCGCTGAAGCAGGTTTGTTCTAACAAGATACCACAAATTGTGGCTACCAGAAGCACACATTTGTTATCTTCTAGCTCTGGAGGTCAGAACCCCAACGTTTCTGGCCCATTAAGCTATTTCTGCCCTCCTTACCTTCTCTATTGTTAAGCAACCGTTAATCTGCAATCACTATCCATTAGCTTCCATTTCTCAGACTTTTACATAAATGAAATTATATAAATCATTAGTATACATGCTTTGTGTTTGGCTTCTGTCACTTAAAATTATTTTGAGATTCAGCTGTGCTGTGTGTATCCACCACGCATTCCACTTTTGTTTGTTTTGTTTTCTGAGACAGGGTTGCACTATGTACAGTAACTCAAGCTGACCTCGAACTCACTGTATCTTAGGCTGGCCTTGAACTCGTGGTGCCACACACCTACCTCTCCACTTTATTCTTCAGCGGTGTTCTATTACACGGGTGTTCCAACACCAACCGTCTGTTCAGGCACTCTTAGATATCTGGCTTGCTTCCAGTTTTTTGGCTATTGCAAAGAGCTGCTGTGGAGCGTTCACTTACTAATGTTTTTGTGTTTATGTGCTTTCATTTCTCTTAAGTACTTGGGAGAACTCTCAGGTGATATGACTGGAGTATGTTTTAACTTTTTAAGGAACTACAGGCCTGTTTTCCAAGGAAGTTATGTCATTTTATAACTCCATCAGTAGTGCATGAGAAAAAATTCAAGTTTTAAGAGTTTGAAAGTATCTAGTGGTCACTGCATGAATAGTCGTGGTGTGAAAAATCATGTGCTGGAGAAATGACTTGGTTATTTAAGGAGCCTACATGATATTAAGAAGGGATATACGTACAGTAATACCTTGGTTCATGAATGCTTCTGTTTGCAAACAGTTCAATTCTCAAACAAAAGCTGTTCAAATTTTGCTTGTGTTCACAAATTCCCATCAGGTGACAAACACACCTGTGGCCACTTTCCCCAAAATCATAAAACAAGTCAAGCTTGTGAACTGAGGTACCACTATCTAACCAGTTGGTCTAAACACATATACAAAGCATTGCACAGTGTGATAGTGTCAGCTCAGAGGTCAGATAATGAACGTGAGAGTCTATGATAATGAGACGGTGCGTTAAAGGTGCAGGGTTCTAGCCAGGATGATCAGGACCCTGCATAAAAGAGCTGTAAGTAAATTCATTAGTTAGGTTTTAACTTCAATTCTAAGCATCATTGTTCATCTGAAGCACTGTTTTCACTGTGGTCTGCCCCCAAGGTGTCTGCTGGCCTCTTCATCAGTTTCAGTTATTGCTGCCTGCCATCATTTATTTCTCATGCACCTTTGGGTCAGTGGGCAGCTCTACTGACTTATACCACATCAGCCCAATCCTTGCAAGATCCCAGTTTTGGGCCAGCCAGCCAGCTGTAAGGAGGGCAGCCTTGCTCCTGACCTCACCACACAGGTCCACTTTTCCTGGCTGCATCTCATCATGGTTTAGGCTGAGAACTGCCAGGAGTTATTGATCATGCTCATTCCAAGGGCAATGCAGATTCAAAGTATGGAGCAGAAGTGATGTCACTGCAGGATGTGTGGGTGTGGACGGAAGATCAGATCCAGTCTGCATTTACCCACTACATCCTCGAAGACCACCCTGGCATCATGTGTCAATGTTTAATGTTACTTCTTATCTGACAATATCTTCTGACTAGAATTTGGCTAAGACCAAAGTAAGCAAAAGAGGTCTGTCCTCTGATCCAGTTCTAAGATGCATGGTTGTCTGGTGACCAACCTCACAGCAGGGTAAGTTTTAGTTTTTAAATTTTGTTTATTGGGTTTGTTTGTTTTGAGACACAGTCTGTGTAGTCCAGGCACACCTCGAACTTGCAGCTATCCTCCTGCCTCAGCCTCCAGAGTGATGACGGGATTACAGGCATGGGCCACCAGCCCTGGCTTCCAGATTGAAATTTTAAATTAGTAGCTGCACAGTGACCTGTACTAAAAGCACAGTTGTGTATGCAGTCTGAAATACAAAAGGCAAGAGTGTGAAACAGGGCAGCTACATTTCCTGCCCATCCTTCCTCCCTATGTTGGGATACTGGGAATAGAACCCGGGGTCTGGTGCTAAAACAAGTGCTTTGCCATTATGCTACATTCTTAGATCTTTAAAAAAATTTTGTTTTCGGGGCTGGAGGTTTAGCTCAGCGGCATAAGCACCTGCCTTGGAAGCAGGCAGTTGTGAGTTCGATCCCCGGTACCGATAAAAAGGAAACTCCGGCGCTTATGCCGCTGAGCTAAATCCCCAGCCCGACCTTTAAAAATTTTTTAAAAATATTTTGAGACAGGCCTTACTAAATTTCCCTGGCTGTACTGTAATTTTTTTTTTTTTTTTTTTTTTTTTTACAGTTCTAGGTTCCAGTCAATATGCCTCCCAGCTGTAGACATGGTTTAAATTGCTAAATTGGGCAAGCTGTGCTCAAACTTGTGATCTTCCTGCCTCAGCCTCTCAGAATGCTGCTAGGATCACAGGCTTAAACTACCACTTGTGAATTTGGTATTCCCTTGCCACAGGTTCCCTAGTCCACAGCTGTAAATAGAGACAGCTAGGATTACAGGTGTATGCCATCATGCCTAAGTATTTTGTTTGAGCAAGCATAGAATTCAGGTAAGGGAGATCGTCATCACAGATGGTTTGTTGTGTTTTTGTGTTATGTCACATCCCAATACCATATCCAAGAGACCTGGAATGAAGGCATCATTGATTTCCAGCAGTCTAATGCCTACTAAGTGCTCTTCCCTACTTATGAATGAAGTTGTCTGTCTTGGAGGAAATGGGTGCGTATGTGATCCTGGGAATTTCTCCATTGCAGAGGGCGGCTAGGAGATAGTCTAACAGTGGTTTTCCTACTCATCTCCTAAAAATAATTCAGCTGTTGTTGGAGCCGTTGAAGCTGAATACCCGTGCAGGGCTGTGGCGTGACTCGGGCATGGCAGAACTGAGAACGAGGAGACCTCAGGGGGCAAGAGAGGAGACCTCAGGGGGCAAGATAGGCCCCAGCTGAGGCCACCTAGAGACTTCCGGGATAGTTTTCCTTAATTAGCATCGTCTGTTGCTCTGAGGGGTCCTTGAACCCCTCCCGAGATCCTGTTCAGGTTTCCTGGGTTTTCCACTCAACTCCTAGCTTGTTCTGATTAAATACAGGCTGCAAGGATATAATCCTTGCAGTGGACTTTAGTCCTCCTGGAGCCCTAAAAATCATGCCATGTGCTTGTCTCATTCCTTTGGGCACCTGTCTGGGGAATTGGGGATCTAGGCACAGACCCTAACAGGCTGTTACCAGACTGGCTTTTCCTAAATCGCCAACTTGGACACAAGTTTGGTTTTTGTTGTTTTCAGTATTAGAGTGAAACTCGGGGTAACGCTACCACTAAGCTACAGTCCTAGATGGGGTCTCGCTAAATGGCCCAAGCTGGTCTCCATCATTCTGACTCCGCCTCCCCTGAAGCTGGGGTTAGTGGTGTATGCCACCAGTCGGCTGGCCTACCCACTTCCCCGGACCCTGAGTTGGGTATGCAACACCCCTACATCTCAGCCAGCTCCCCGTGCAATGCAGCTTCAAGTCGAGAGCTCCCCTAGGGCTTCCCTTTTTTTTTTTTTTTTTGTCTTTTTCTTTTTTATCGGTACCAGGGATCGAACTCACAACTGCCTGCTTGCAAGGCAGGTGCTTATGCCGCTGAGCTAAATCCCCAGCCCCTGGGCTTCCCATTTTAAGCAAGTCCTGCGTAAGACTCGATTCTGATCCCGAATCCGGCAACCGGCCGGAGACAAACATCGCCAGCTGCCCCGCTGGCTTCGGGGACCCAGCCCTCAGGACCTCACGCGAAAGAACCGGAAGCGGCGCGCGCCGGGGGCGGGGCCTGGCGGGCCGCCCGGCGCGCAGCGGCTTGCGTCATCCGGTCGCGCCCAGTCTCCGGGCGTCGTACGGGTCCCGGCAGTGGCGGCCGGAGGTCTTCCGGGAAGGCTCGTCTCGGCGCGCCCATGGCGGTGTGCCCGGCAGCGGCCCCGAATGCTGGCTCTTCCCGCTGGACGGCGAAGAAGGCGGCGGCCCCGCGAGCGCAGGCTGGCGCAGCCCGAGTGGGGGTGTGAGTCGCGGCCTGCGGCGGGCGAGACCGGCTCTCACTTCGGCCCGGAAGGGCCCCTGCGCGCAGCGCTCCCGGCGCGGCGGCCGGGCCGAGACGGCCGGCGAGGGCCGAGACGGGGCCCGGCGGGGCTCGCGGGCGGCCCGGGCTGCGCCGCCGGCGCTGCGGAGCGGGCTCCTCTGCCTCGAGGACTCTCGAAGGTGCGGTCAGTCAGGTGTAACGTTTTGAACTTGACAGTGTTCACTCTTAACTTCTGTAGAACGAGTCTTTAATTCCTCTTCATGCAGCGCAAAACTCAGTTTAGTTTCGCTTGTGCTTCTATTATTATTGTTACTCTTTTTTACTAGAATGTTAGCACACTTGATACAGGACTGCATCTTAAGTTCTGTTTCTCTGAGTTCTGTGTAGCTTGTGCCGGGTTAGCACTTTCCCCCCGACACCTGCCTCCGTCTCCTGTTCCTTTTCCCGTTCTAAAAAGATCTCCCTGCCTCCTAGTAGGCGCCTTTTATTTTGATGTTTATTTCTACTTTGGGATTCTCATATAAGAGAAACCATGCTATAAAACTTATGTGTCTGACTTATTTTATTTAATAATGTCAAGGTGTTCCCATTTACCAACAGAAGACTTCTTTATTCTGTATCTCAGAGGAATGGTACCCGGTATATGAATACTGTATTTTCTTTATCCATTCATCTGTTGTTGAGCATGCAGGCTGTTTCTAGGATTTAGTTGCTATGAATTGTACATCTATAAACATACGCATGCAAGTTTCACGGCAATTTGATACCTTTATCTGGGTTGGGAAGATATCCGAAACGGAAATATCTGAGTCGTATGGGATTTGTGTTTTTAGTTTTTTGAGGAATCTCTAAGGTGCTCGTTTGCCTTCCCACCAACAATGTAGAATGTCCCCCCTCTCTTGGAGCCTCTCCAGCATTCATTTGATTTCTGGATGATGGCCATTCTTTCTGGAATAAGATGGTATCAGTGTTGTTTTAATTTGCTTTTTGCTAATAGCCCGTCAAGAGTAACATTTTTTTCCTTATTGGCCACCTGTGGTTCTTTTGAGAAGTGCTATTCATTTCTGGTGCCCAGTTTTTTGATTGGGTCTTTTATTTTGAGGTTTTTAATTCAATTAGTGCTTTTATGAGGAAATATGAGGGTTGAGATCTTTCGTTCTAGTCAGTGGTTTGTGAGAGCATTACGTTGTGCTCTACTGAGCAGGTTGCTAGTACAACGAGGATGGAGGCTGTAACCATCGTTTAAAAAATACTGAGTAATTTTGCACAGTCTTGTCACCTACTTCTGTATTTTTTTCCTTTCCAGGCTGGAGGTACTCTGCCAGGGTTTAAAACTTTAAGTGGGAGTAAAGGGTAGTTTTTATGAGGAACTGAGAATGAATAAATCGTCTCTGTGTTTGAAAAGAGAGACCATGTTATATTTACATGTGGATTAAAATTTTAATTTGTAACTAATGTAAAGTTAGGGTTGGAGATTAAATTGTGTTGTATTTATAAGTACAGATTTTAAAATAATTAGCCAAATGACAAGGTGAAACAAATTAAACCTAATTTTAGATAGCAGTAAAAATCAAGCAGAACTCCTTAAGATTTGTTGTTGAGCACCTGTGTGTGTGTGTGTTTTTGTACTGGAAACTGAATCTAGGACTGTTGCACTGAGTTACATCCCAGTCTTTGTTTTGTGGCATAAATACCTGCCCAGCAAGCACAAGTTGAGAGTTCAATCCCTGGTGCCACCAAAAAAAAAAAAAAAAAAAAAAAATCCCAATTGAGATAGGATTTTACTGAGTCCCTAAACTACCCAGCATAGGCTTGAATTTGTGATTCTCTTGCCTCAGCCTTCAGCGTGCTGCGAATGCCAGAGGTATAGTCTTTTCACTCACTTTCAGAGTGGCCCGCTGCACCTTACCTTACCCCTGGGAGATTCAGTTTTGCTAACTGTGAAGTAGGAATGAAACCTTCTGGTTATTGTGTAGAGTAAAAATGAAGTATGAAGCTGGACAAGATGGTGTACACCTGTAATCCCAGCACTCAAGAGACTGAGGCAGGAGGATAGCCTAGAGTTCAAGGCCAGTCTGAATTGCATAGTAGAAACCCTGTCTCAAAAATAAAACAAAGATGTATTAAAATTACTAGAACTGAGTGGGGCAGAAGGTACTGGAACTCAACAGCCTAAGCAGATTTATTGGTAAACCTGGGAGGGACCTCTTTATTGGAGCAGAACTGAGAAAATGTCTCTTAGAGGCAGAAAGGCTCTTTTTGTGGTGTTTTTTGGCCGGCTTTTGAGGTTGTGTGTCTCCTCTGTGGTCTGCTGGCACCTCCTCTGGAACTGCTCTTGACCTAAATAAAATGCAGCCTACATTCCTCTAAGGTGGACAGTGGGCTTATTCCAACTGGCAGTGTCCCTGTCTAAGCTCTGTGAGGTACAGTTGGCCATTATTACTAGGGAGATAAAATAGTAAAAGAAAATTTAATTAGCTTTCTGTTATATAAAAAGATTTAGTCATATTTAAAGCACCTGATTGATTATATTGTTTTTCCATAGGTCCGTTTTACATTCCAGTTTATTGGGTTGGTGTGTTGTGCCAGTTGGTGGTGATGGTGGGAAAATGGAGATGTAAGTCAGAGGCTACAAAGTAGCAGATATGTAGGCTAAGAGGAGGGATCTAACTGTAAGGTGACACTAATGAAATGATAGGAGGATTTTTTATTAAGTAGATTTTAGCTATTGTCATTACAATGGTGGATACATTGTGTGCACTTTAGAAGTTTAAGTGACTCAGTGAGGACCTGGTGCTCACTTTGTGAACACTTCAGCCTGTTCCAGGCCCACAAGGAGATGATGTGAGTGCTGCACCCCTGGAGGCTGGCAGCCTGTGTACAGCACAAGAGGGGAAAAGAGGCCTGCCCTCCCCTTTTTGCTCTTGCTACTTTTCCTGTCTTCTGCCACCTTGAACTGCTGGCCCTGTGCCATGCCACCTGCTTGGAGCCAGCTCACTAATGACTGAACCTCTACAAACTCTGAGCTGAAGAAATCTCCTGTAGTATCATATTGCAAACCTCAATATACACAATAAAACTTTTTTTACATTAAATTTTATTGGTGCATTTTAGATATATACATATAGCGATCACATTTATCATAGAGAATTTGTATCTGTGCATGATACAATTTGTTTTTTTAAAACTTTTTAAAGTCCCTACTTGACACTGGGAGATGAAAGTTCTGTCTTTGTATAAGATGAGAACATTTTCCTCATTAAGCTTTCCTGCATATCTAATTATACTTGTTTTATGTGGATAAACCCAAAAGAAAATAGACATTCCTTGCATGATGGCCTAGTCATTGGTTGGTAAATGAGAAATTGTATATAGAATGTATATTATAATAGTTAGAACAAAGAAATGGTCACATGAAGCTCCACTTTGATGACTTTTATTCACATAGCTGTTACATGCAGTAGTGTGATGCATAACATAAAACCACAGTAGTGTATAGTAAAACTAGTAAAAATTACAGTATTATATAAACAAGGTGTACGGTACCAAAAAAAGACGTTGAGGCTATCACCAGTACATACAGAACTGAACCAAAATAAAAGAGGGATGGTATGACTGACTGGTGGGTCCGACCAAACAGTGCCCTTTGGTCGTAACTTCAAATGGTAGTTAAACAGGTTGCGAAATAAGGAGTGTCTGTACTTCGATGGTGGGGATGAAAAGTTATAACCTGGCCAATAAATGGGTTGTAGGTCCTTTTCATGTCTTGTGGACTTGTGTGCAGTCTGTAGGGCCCTTCAGATGGTCTGATAGTCACTTGCCTGTCCTACTGTGGTATTCCATGTGACAGCTCACACAAGGTCAGCCGTGCTGGCATTTCTTTTCCTTGGAAAAAATGCACACCTCACATCTTGGAGCCTTAGCACTTGTATTTCTTGCTGCTTTGTTTTTTACCGTCTCTCTCAGGTCTTAGCTCAGCCTTGCCTCCTCAGCAGGCCTCAGCCTTCCAATTTCCCGGTGCCCTTAACATGCATTATTTTCAGCATGGTGTTGAGCACTTTGCATTGCCTTTATTTTGTTTCTTGTCTCATCTTTCGTCCAGCCGTGGACAGAGTGTTGGTCTGTGCCATTTAGTGCTGTCCCCGTGCACCTAAATAATAGTCCATCCTCAGTCCGTCTCTACTGGTTGAGTAAAGCAGATTGGTAAGCTAGTTCATAGGAGCCGCGAGAAAGGGGTGAGTGTGTGTGTGAGGGCTGGGATGGGAATTAGAAGGTAGGTGTCCAGAAAGAGGTGCAGGTGGGAGGGTGGCGAATGTGGTGCCTTTGGGCCTGGACTCTTTACAGTGGAAGAAATGCAGAGGAGGGAGAGTGGGCGGAAGCTCGGGTGGAAGTGTGTCGCCCTCTCGACCTCGGGAGGACCTGGGGCGAGGGCAGTGTACTGTTGAGGAGTTTGGGTTTTTTGCTGTAAACCTGGAGTCCTAATCCTAAATTTTTGTTTTTTGGTGCTAGGGACTGAACCCAAGGGCCTACCTAACTTATGCTAAACATAATATATTTTCCTACTGAGCTACGCTCCTGGCCTCTAAATTTTTAAGCAAAAAATGAGATTGTCAGAGGTGTCCTTTCCCTTTCCCGTTCCCGTTCCCGTTCCCGTTCCCGTTCCCATTCCGTTCCTTTCCTTTCCTTTCCTTTCTGTTCCGTTCCTTTCCTTTCCTGGTTTTTTGAAACAGGGTCTCACTATGCAGTTGGCCTTGAACTCACGTTGTAGTCCAGGCAGGCCATGAACACACAATGATCTGCCTCAGCCTCATGAATGCTGGGATTCCAGGCCTACACCACTATACTCAGCTTTCTCTTTTTGTAATAGCCAATAATTTTATTTCAAGATAGGTTATTGGTGCTTTAATACGTTAACATAATAGGGCTCTCAGAGATGTGTTTCGTACCATAGGCTGGCAGCAGTTTGTGTCTGAGCTGGGTGAGGGTCAGGAGGTCGGGATGTGGTCATGCAGAGAAATGTGAGGCTGTGTTTTAAGACAGTCCATCAGCCATTGCTGGCACTGCTGTTTGCTTTGGGTGATGAGAATGGTAAGCCATTGTTAGAGCAGACAGGGCAGAAACCCAGCCCCGCTGGAAGCCTGATTTGAGCTGCCAGTTCTCTTGGTCCCACCTCTGGAGACTCCGGGGGAAAGGCAGAGGCTGGAGGCGAGACCAAGGCTGGGTCCTCAGTTGTGCTTCCCGCCCCTGCATGACACATTGCTTCATGCCTCTGTGCCTGTTCTCATCAGATGCCCATCCATGTATCTTTCCAAGGCCCGTGTAGGTAAGATGTCAGAAGGACTGTGACAGGGTTAAACGTGTGCAGATCCCCGACTTAATGCCCTACTGTGCGATGCGATGCTGTGGGATTGAGGTGTGCCGTTTGGACCAAGGGCCTTTTTCCCTTTGGTGCAGTTCTGTCCATCTTGTTGATAGAGCTTCAGTGTCCCTTTTTGTACAGTACCCCTTGTTTATACAGGACTCATTTTTGCTAACTGTACTGTGCAGTACACTACTGCAGTTTTATGTTCTGTGAAACATTACAGTGCTGCATGTAAGAGTTGTGGAAATAAAAGCACAGTCATCCAGTTGGAATTTCCTTTGACCGTGTGTTCAGAATTGTGTGCATACTACTATGCGTGCCCTTCCTCAGTCAGTGACTGAGTCAGCCAACGACCTGGCCGGAGGAACCTAAGTTGGTTGTTAAACCAGGAATGTCTGTACGTGTGGCAGGGCATGGTGGTGCAGACTTGTGATCCTGTCACCCTGGGAGGCTGAGGCAGGAGGTCTGTAAACTGAAGCCCAGGCCGTGTGACTTGGTGACTTAGATCCAGTCTCAAAAATAAACTCTCAGTGTAGGATTTTTCTCATGGCATCAGCTGGCCTTAGAAACAACATGGGGACAGCTAGGGATACTTGTCCAAAATCTATGAGGAAACCGTTCTGGAAGTGCTTCAAATAAAAAGCTAATTTCATGCATGTTAATGAGACTAATACTTAGAACGCAGAACCTTTCTACCCTAGTATAGTTTCTTTCTGTGCTTGGTGTTACCTTGAGCTAGATGTGGACAGTCTTGCTTTGGGGACTGTCTACTGATTTTGTCCTGGGCTTCCTTTTCTCTTCAGCACTGAAGGAAGTGTTTTAAAAACTTCCATGAAAGTTGGATGTGGCAGAGTATGCCTGTAATCCCAGGCGTCTGGGAGGCTGAGGCAGGAGGGTCACAAGTTTGAATCCATTCTGGGCAACTTTGTGAGAGAGATCCTGTCTCAGAATAAAAATTTAAAAAGGTTTGGAGCTCCCACCAGTGAAGACGTTCAGTTGTTACAATTTTGCTAACTTTGATGATTGTGTTGCTCACTGTTAGTCATTTTGCAGAGAGAGCCTGAGGATAGGTTTTCCTGTTAGAATATTCCATTTTAAACCTGCTCCTTAGGGTACCCATTCTCCACGTTACAGAAGAACATGAATCAAGTACATCAGTTTGCATTTTGAGTCTTTAGCATTGTTTAAGATTTGAATAGGTTATTTTGAGAATTTCTAGTCCGCATCTGTGGAATCTTTGAGAGCAGGGAACGTTGCCCATCTCAGAACTCCAGTGCCTGGCCCATGACAGCTGTTCCCGGTGTTGGCTGTGCTGATGGCAGCAGGCAGACAGCAGTTACAGGCTCTGAGACATTGCTCTTCGGGTCCTCTCAGAAGTAAGGTGGGCAGGGTAGCAGGTGGACCGTCGTCTTGGTTCAGGAACTTTTTTGAAGTGAAATTGAGCAAGTTTTCTTGTTCAGCTGTCTGTTTGCTTTATGGATAATCCTTACAAATACAAATCTCTGTGCAGACTCCCGGCTGTGATCAACCTTCGGTTCCAGAGGGGAAGCAAACTGTTACCAGATCTCAGGACGGCGAAGCAGAGCGTTCCTCTCTGAGCAGTCCCACCGATGCCCTGTTTTCAGACTGTAAGTCCCCAGGGGGATCATTCCTGTTCTTTGTTTAGTGGCTGGAGCCTGCCTTACAATTCGAAGGCTTGCAGATTTGCTACTGTATTTGTGTACCCAGACCTCTACCTGACCCTTACCCCTACCACCGCATAGGTTCTGCATGGACAAACTGCAAGTCATCTTAGTTCTATTTTATTAGTATGTATCCGCGGTACATAGCACTTTCATCGTGGGGAATTGGTGCATACACGGAACACATCTTAATTCCTTTACTTCAGCTTTCCTTCCCCTCCCTCCATAACTTTAACTTTAGAAAGCTTACATGAAACTTGCTTCCATAAATGAGTGTTTTCATGGAGGGGAAGCCACCATGAAGAACCACAGTGACTGTAAGGATCTCTTATGATAGTTCTCTCTGAAGACTGAACAGGAATTGAGAGTGAAACGTTTGAAGCTGCCTGACTTCAGTGGCCGAAGAGCAGGTAGTCAGGAGTCGGCACCACCTGCTCTGGCTCTGTCCGGCCGAGTGCAGAGCACCCCGGGTCCTGAGGCGCAGGCAAGGCCGACCTGTCATGGGAGTGGGGAGAAGGCCGTGGGTGGGCACAGTGGTGACACTGAGCTGCTGGCTGTCAGGAGGCTTGCTGGGAAATGAAGTGAGCGGGAGAGAGGTGGCCTGCCCTGGGTTCTCAAGGCTACATACACTGTGATGATAACTCAGCCAGTCCAAAAAAGGCCTTCTTTCTACTTTGTATGTTTGAAATTTTCTGTAGTAATAGATTTTTAAAAAGAGGAAACAAGGAAATAGGTTTTGAGTACCATCCAAAAACTAACTGCGGAAAATATTCATTTGTGAAATTTTGTAAAGTTAGGAACAGTTAATTTTCATTGACCTTAGAATAAAATTAACAAAAATCTGTTATGTACATTTGTTGCTATTTGTTTTTTGAGGTAGGTCTCACTTCTGTAGATTAAACTGATCTTTTTTTTTTTTTTGTACCAGGGGTTGAACCCGACTGCACGATTGCAAGGCAGGCGCTTATGCCACTGAGCTCAATCCCCAGTTAAGCTGATCTTGAGCTCAGAATCCCAGGCTGGCCTCGTACTCTCAGGGACCCTCCCGCCTCTGCTTCCTGAGTGCTGTGATTTACAGGTGTGTGCCACTATAACAAGTTGCTGTTCTTATTTGGATTTTGGTTGGTTGGTTTTATGAGCAGGGTCTTTTTTTTTTTTTTTTTTTTTTTAGTACCAGGGATCATACTCATGACCTCATACTTGCCAGGCAGGCACTTATACCAGCTAGCTTTGAACTCGCTGTAGCTCAGTCTGGTCTCAAACTCAGTGATTCTCCTGCCTCAGCCTTCTGGTGCTGGAATTGCAGGCCTGTGTCTCCACACCCAGCGTGTATGCATTGTTTTGGTCACCGCTTCGTGGCGTGACACTGACAATGGGAAGGTAGGATGGATAGCAGTTTCTTAGTCACCTCTATTCAGCAGGGGAACGGAAACACTGCTCAGGAGAGAGTGTGAAGAGCCAGCAGCCCTGGGGTGCTGTGTCTCTGCGTCTTGAGGAAGATGTGATGACAGCTCCCAAGCTGGCAGGACATGATGGACACAGGGGCCATCACATGGCGCCCGCTGGTGCAGCAGGCGTTGCTTGGTGTCAGGGTCTTAGCATTGGGAGCAGAGCAGAGAGGCCATTCGCTCGGAGTATGCTGGCCGGCAGAAGTCGGGCAGCAGGCAGTGCGTGTACCTAGCTGGGGCTCAGTGAAAGCGCGGGCTGTTACTTGGTATAAGCAGTTAGGGAGTCGTGTGTCCGTTTCTGAAAGTCAGGCACATGTGAGTAAAGACTGAAATTGGATTTGTGGCGCTGTTGTTATTCACTATACTGGAAATAGATTTATAGATAAAACAGTATTGTTTTTGCAAATGATAGTATTTTATTTTGTGGATTCTAGAACATTTGACTGCAATGGCTCTGTTTTTAAACTTCATTAGTCTATATTTGCAGTACCTGATTACATTGCTGGTGGGGAGTTGGTGCATGTTTGTAACACAGCATATCTTAATTCTTGTTTTGTCCCCTTTGTCTTCCTTCTCTTCCTGTTCCCCTTCCTGTTTGGAAAAGATTATTTGCCTTTTATTTTGCTCTTTACCCATATCTTGGGTTTCTCATACAGAAGAAATTATGTTTAACATCTTCCTGCTGGCTTGAACAGCTGGTCATACAGTATATGGGTGCCTGTTCCATTGGGTGACTTTTTAATTTTATTACATAGCAGTGGTTCAAGACATGTGGCAGTGAGACATATGAATTACAATCCTATCCTGAACATGTTAAACTTGTGTGTCTGATTTTTTTCACTTAACACTATGTTCTCAAGGTACATCCATTTACCAACAAATAACTCAAGTTTATCCCTACAGCAGAGTAGTTCTCTGTTGTGTATAAATATATAGTGCATTTCATTTGTCCCTGTGATTGTTTGCTTGTTTGCTTTTGGAGACAGGTTCTCACGAGGTAGTGCAGGCTGACCTTGAACTTGCTCTTGTGGCCTGAGGTGCTCTTAAACTCAGCAGTCCTTCTGTCTCGGCCTCCCTCCTGAGTGCTGGGATGCAGACGTGTGCCGCCCTGCCTTGCTCCATTTGTCTGGTCATGGGTGTGTAGGCTGCTTCCAAGATCCAGCTATAATGAATTGTGCTGCTATAAACATGGGTGTGCATGGATCACTGAGTGACATTTTAACTCTTTCAGGAATAGTCCTGAAAGGGGAATAGCTGAGCCAACTGGAATTTACAGTTTTTGTTGTCTGAGGAATTGCCACCCGCACAGTGACTTTACTAGTTTACATTCCCAGCAGCATGTAGAAGGGCCCCCTCCGCAGTCTCCCTAGCATTTAATTAGATGATTGCTTGATGGTGGCTGTTCTTTCCGGGGTAAGGTGGAGTCTCAGTGTTGTTTCACTTTGCATTTCTCTTAGCCAGCAGTGTTGAGCCTGTTTTCATGTATTTATTAGCCTTTTGTACTTCTCTCTCTGAAAAATGTCTGGTCATTTTAGTTGCCTATTTTTTGTTTGGGTCTTTTATTTTGGGGGAGATCTAGTTTTTTGAGTTCTTTTGTGATAGTAGCTAGCAAACATAATTTCCCCATTCTGTAGGTTGCGTCCTTTCCCCGTTGGTTGTTTCTTTTGCTGTGCAGAATCTTTTCAGTTTGTTCTCATTTGTGGACTCTTGTTACTACCTTCTCTTTTTTTTATCTTTTTGAGACGGGGTGTCACTATACAGTTCAGGCTGGCCTTGAGCTCACTTTGTAGCTCAGGCTGGTCTCAAACTCTGAGTGATCCTCCTGCCTCAGCCTCCCGAGTGCTGGGATCACAGCGTGCATCACCACCCAGCTGCTTGTGTTACCTTTTGTGCCACTGGGGTTCTGTTCTGAAAGTCCTTGCCTGCGCTTCTGTCTTTAAGGGTTTTATCTGTGTTAGCTTCCAGATTTATCTGTTGCTGTTGTAACATTTAGATCATTCATTCATTTTGATATTAGTGTAGTACATGGTGAGATACATGGATCTAGACTTAATCTTGTGTGTGTGTATACCCAGATTTCCAAATACCGTTTAGTAAAGAGGCTGTTTTTCCTCCAATGTGTTTTTGATCCCTTTGTCAAAATCAGATAGTTGAATGTATGTGTTTGGGGTCATTTCTGCTTCCTCTGTTCTTTTTCATTGGTTCTTATTTCTGTTTATATGCTGCTATGTTTTTGTCACTGTAGCTGTAACATAACTTCAGACCTGGGATTGTGATGCCTCCTGCCTTGCTAGGGTTATCTGGAATTGCTTTAGCTATTAATGGGTAGCATTGTTATTTGTATTTCATGATTTGGGATTGAACCCAGAGCCCTTACACTGAGCTACAAGCTACATCCCCCAGTTTTTTTTTTTTTTTTTTTTGGTACTGGGGATTGAGCTCACGACCTCACACCTGCCAGGCAGGCGCTTACACCGCTGAGCTAAATCCCCAGCCTTCCCCAGATTTTTTTTTTTTTTTTTTTTTTTTTGGTACTGGGGATTGAGCTCACGACCTCACACCTGCCAGGCAGGCGCTTACACCGCTGAGCTAAATCCCCAGCCTTCCCCAGATTTTTTTATTTTGTATTTTTTTCAAAGAAAATGATTTTTATTGGTATATAATGATCACATTAATCATAGGGAATTTGTACCTATTTGATATAACTGATTCTTTCCTTTTTTTCTTGCCATCCCTCTACCCTCTCTCCAACCCGTCTTTCCCTCTTTACCTACAAAAGCTTTGTTTTTATTTTATGTTTCTTTTTTTTTAATCGGTATGGGGATTGAACTCATGACCGCCTGCTTGCAGGGCAGGTGCTTGTGCCATTGAGCTAAATCCCCAGCCCCTTATTTTATGTTTTGAGACAGGGTCTTGCTATGTTGCTCAGACCCATGATACTCTGCCTCAGCCTCCCAGAAAGCTGAGATGCAGTTGTATGCCACCGTCCCTGACTGGGGCTTTATTCTTTAGGCCCAGTTACACACAGCTCCATTCACAACAAACATATATGAAGACACATTTTGAGGCTGCCAGACAGCAGGTGCACAGACTGAAGTGGGAGGCCGTGTGCAAGAGCTCAGGGGCAAGGGAGGCTCGTGCACGTACACAGGAGAACTGGCCACGCAGGGTGTGCAGAGCCAGTGTAAGTGCTTGTTTGTGTTCTAATGTTGCCGTGTCTAGAGATGGCTGTCTGCTCCCACCTCATTCATGCATTGTCCTGGCTCCTCTGTCCCTGCCTGGGTTTCCATTCCTTTAACTCCTATCTCAGGGATGCTGGAGTTACGATGCAGCTAGCATCTGGGAACTAAAAAGGCAATACTTCAGACTACTTAGCTTGTCTTGCCTCCCTTTCTTTTCCCCTTTGCTCTGCTCTCTTCTCTTTCCATGTCTTCATCATCCAATTTTACCTGCGATTTCTGTTCTCTGCATACAGGTTTTTGTTTTTGAGAAATTATGACAGAATTTTCTTTTTCCTCTGTGCTGGCAGTTGAATCCAGTACCTTCACGTGGCAGGCAAGTGCCTCACTGACCAGTTTCCAGCGCCTGTGGGGGGCACGTTACACTCACTGTAGAAGGCCTGTTGAGACACAGTGGAGACCGTAGGGGCATCTGGAAATAAGCGCATATAGTGTGTGCACGGGCTGGCCTAACAGGGATGGTGCTGCTCTGTGTGTTTCCCTCTTGTGGTCAGTGGGCTCCCAAGGTGTTCTGGTCCTGTAGTGAGGGTGGGCTACAGAGGAGCAAACAGAAGTAGCAGGGGCCTCTTCAGGTCCACACTCAAAACTGGCACTGTGCTGCGTTAACCTGCCTCCCAATGACCTGAGCAAGGTGATGCCAAGTCCCAGATCAGTACGGTGAGGAAGAATAGTCTCACTGAAGTGTGTGAGAATCGTGATGAACCTCAGGGGCACATCAAGCACTGGCCATTCTTGTTTGAAGTGGTAGTAACTCAGAAAAGTGATCACACTGTTATTATGGTAGTGCATTGTGACTCCTTACTTGTCTTTTGTCTGACTTCCTGTTAAAGCCTAAAAGCTGTCACCTGTTAGAACTTTGTGCTTGGGATCAAACTCAGGGCCTCACATGTGCAAGGCAAGCTCTCTACCACTAAAGTGATACCTAGCCAGACAGTGCTCTCGCCATTGTATGCAGTGCGCTCAGCGTGATGTGTGCATCTGGTAAATGCCGCCTGCGGGAACAGAGGCAGTAGCTGCAGGGATTAGCAGATAGGCAGCTGCATTGCTTCCGTTAGGGACCAGGGCCTCGGAACCTGAAGACTGGAAGATCTTTGCTAGTCAGTGAAGGTGGGTTAGGTGGGTTAGTGGGGATCCTGCAGGTTGGTTCTGGGATTCAGTGGTTAGTGTAGGACCAGAGATCCCGAAATGTAGCCCCATGTGGTACTACACATCTGTTACCCCAGCGTTCTGAGGAATGGAGGAAGGACGGCAAGTTTAAGCCCATCTGGCCAGTTTTAGCAGTTTACTGAGACTGTGTCTCAAATGAAAACTTTAAAAGGCCCTTTTTGTTAAATGTTATTTTTTTCTCTGCTTTCCACACTCTGTTTTGTTCACTTGTCCACAGAGTTCATGAGGTGGCCCATGAAGAAAAGAGAAAGCAATGCAATCTGTGGTAGACTTCTGTTCCTGTCATGTTTTGTCTCATGGTCCTCGTGGTCACTAAAGTTCAGCAGGACCACATACCCTGTGACCCAGGAGATGTTGGTACTACAATTGGCTTCCTCTTTCAACAAAGTATGTGAAATCTGTCATCTCAACACATCTCCAGATAGGCTAAACAAATAAATTACCATAGGTTTATGTCCATATATATTTCTAATTAGAAAATATATGCATGAGAAATATTTGAATTTCTCTATGTAAATTATTCAATAGAGGTACTTCAGTGCATTTGATAAATGTATGATAAGCTAGATTAATATTCTTCCCTGAGTATTCTCAGCAAAGTTTTATTCTTTTATTTTTATTTTTTTGACGCTTAAACCCAGAGCCTTTTGCTCTGGGCTAGGTCCCCAGCCTTCTTATTTATTTATTTACACTGAGCCCCCTTCCCCTTATCTTTCTGTGTATTTCAGGCCGGCCTCCAACTTGAGATCCTCCTGCCTTAGCCTCCTGATTTTCAGGATTATACCTTCACACTTGGCTAGCAGTAATATGGACTATCAGCTCAGATTGAAAACATTTAAACAAAAAATGTAGAGCTATTGCCTATCATGTGCAAGGCCCTGGGTTTGATCCCCAGAATAAAAATAATAAAATACAGAACTAGATTTTATAAAATCAAGTTTTGTTGTTGTTGCTTTTTGTTACCCGGAATTAAACTCACAGCCTCATGCTTGCCAGGCAGGCTCCGTGCCACTGAGATGTATCCCTGACTCTATTTTTTTGTTTTCTTTGACGCTAACAGATTTTTTTTTTTTATTAGTACACGTTTGTAGTACAAAATATTTTCATTGTGGGTAGTTGGTACCTATAAATGTGCATCTTAATTCTTTTTATGTCCCTCCCATCTCTTGTCCTCTTCCCATTTGCAAAAGACCTATCTTTCCTGCTCCTTATGGTCTGTCATTCATGTGTGTGTGTGAAGGAGTGGGGGTAGGTAGAGGAGGGGAGAGACTGGGGAATTGATTGTATATGATTCCAACAAAAATCTAGTGTCAAATGGAACAACATCTAGAAACCTGAAGCATCTAGTAAAGCTGTTCTTTCAAAAAACCAAGTTCTAGTGGTAATAATTTGAATGTTTAATATTTACAGAGTGCTTAACATGAGGCAGACACTGTTCTGCAAACATATTTGTAGATTCCATAATAAAACAAAAATTTCTGCCCTCTTGGAGCTTATATTCCAGTAAAAGATACACATAATAAATAAATGCTTAGTCAAATCACATTACGGTAAGCGCTATGTATATATAGAAACAAGTGTATGCATGTATAGAAACAGGATTGATGAAGTTTAGTCAAGGTAGGCTTGGAGCAGCGTGACGGTTAAGCCTGTCAACCTGATTGGCTTGGGAACCACCTAGGAGGATAGTCAAGCACACTTCTGGGTGTGTCATGGAGATGTGACCTTGAAAACTGGTCCCTGCCCTCTACTGTTCTTTTTTCCTGGTGCTTTGCTTCCCAGTTGCCATGAACTAAGCAGTTTCGCCTGACTCTGCCCTTTGCCGTGACATTCCTGCCTTGGAGCCAGCGTCCCATGAGCTTAATCCTCTGAGGCTGAGCCAAAGAAACCTCTCCTCATAAAGTTGTGGGTCTCAGGTATTTTATCCAACAATAGGAAAGTGACTAATGTAGAATATTGGTGGTTCAGAAATAAGGTTGTTGCTGTAAGTATGACATAGGAGAGAAACACCCAACCTACTAAATGTCTGGTATGAGTTCGCGTTCTCTAAAATTGAAGAATGAATTTTAGGAACAGTGGAGCTTAAGAGTAGAATATATTTATTGAGAGAAAGAAAGCTTCTGACCGAGAGACACAAGGGATTCTGAGTGGGTCGCTAAGAGTACTGCCTTTTTTAGGGATTTTTATAGAGCAAAACTACAGGTCCAAGGTGAGGAAAAATGGGTACTTGCAAGTTGGGCATGACATGGGACAGAAGTGTGGTCAACCACGAAGATCACGAGTAAAATTGCTCAGGTAAAATTGGTTAAAGTGGGATCAAATGGGGAGGTGAGTCACCAGCAAGTGGTCATGAATACAGAGCAGGTCTTTTTTTTTTTTTTTTTTAAAGAGGGTAAGATTGAAACATAACAAAACAGATCATAAGGAAACAATTTTAAGAAACAACAGATTTCAAAGCAAGTCCACTGGAGATCTTCACTGTCTTATTGTCTCTAGTTTTCTTCCAAATAGTTGTCCCCATCTTCATACACACTGAATACATACTGAACATTATAGAACTAATCTAATCACAACAGGATGCTGAAGACTTTTTAGGTCTTCTAAGACCTGACATTGGGGAAGTCAATAATGACTACCATAATGTCTCTCATTCTCTTCGTACGGTAGCTGTCCTTATCTTTACGTATGCTGAAATTGAACATAACAGACTAGACTAATACTACTCTGAACAGTGAATAATAGTATTGCTAGATTTTATATCATAATGCTACAGAATTTGTCGATGTCCGCTCCCGGCCGGCAGGAAGGACACACGACAAAGTCTGGCAGTGGACAACCTTTTCTTTTATTTTCCTTCTCCGTACAGCCTGCCCTGGGATCGCTCCCAGCCGAAGCCTCCTTTGGTCCGCTCCCCGCGGCTCCTTTTGGGCTTCTACTTCCGGGCTTCTTCTTCCCCCCCAGGGGTGGCACCAGTATATATACGGATACAGTGTCCAATCATGTTAAAGTAAGCAAGGCAAGCTGATTGGCTAACATCATCAGTTGCCAGGCAGACTATATTGTTGAGCGGGTTGTTTACGCGGTAAGCAGGAAACTAACGTACTCGATGGGAGGGGTAATCTACCTCAGGCTTCACTCTTTACTACAGGCCTCACGTCCGCCAAGTGAGGCGACCGGGCTCGGGGCTGCGGCTCCCAACATCTCCCCCTTTTTAATTTTTTTTATAAATGTGCGCATCGTAGCCCTTTCTGGACTGGGTGCAGAGGCTTATGCCCTATGCGTAGGCCCACCGTAGGTCCTTGGCTTAGACCCTGGTCGGCCGTCCCATGGTCTGCCAAGGCCCTGAGGCCCTCGTCCTTTTTCTAGGGCCAGGCACAAACTGGACGGAACCTGGATGCACACAAGCTTGCACTCATTTCCTCTCCGTAAAGAAATCCCCTCGGAGAGAAATTTAGACCTGGGCAGCATCTAACAGTCCAGCGGCTTACGTGCAGGATGGGGTAGGGCCTGGCTTAGGTTGAGTCGCACCGGGGGAGTACGCTCTTACCCGTCATTGACTCTCCTACCCAGCTATGTCATAATTTTTTAGAGGAGGAGTGTGGGAAGCTCACCACCCCTAGACTCGGTCGTAGGCTAGGCGAGCGAGCCATGCATATGCCTGAGGATCTTCTTGTCCATTTCGGGCTACCGCTATTTCTATTCATCTTGTTGGTTGGTCTGTGATGGATCTCCGGTAGGGCAGGTCTGATCTTCAGTCGAGGGCTTTGTCGCCCGTGTCAGTCTCTCCGGTACCCACAGTGGTTTTCGTCTCGATTCCTGTGGGAAAACACAAACCGCGCCTCGGTTCCAGCTGACCACTGGATCCGGGCCCATCCATTGTCCTGTCAGGACATCTTTCCACTTCACCCACCCTTTATGGTTGGGGGAAGGGTTGCAGTGCTCCACAGCTGGGGAGCGATTATCATTATTTAAATTTAAAAAATTGTGTGTGAATAGTGCCATGGATAATCGTGCCTTTGGGGCCAGGCCTTGGCCTACTCCCCCTTTTTGTTTTTGTAAAATTTCTTTGAGGCTTCTATGAGCCCTCTCAATGATTCCTTGACCTTGGGGATTGTATGGGATACCATGTTTTAATTGAACCTCCATCATTTTGCAGAACTCATTGAAGGCTTTGCCTATATAGGCTGGTCCATTATCAGTTTTTAATATTTTTGGTTTGCCCCATGCGGCCCAAGCCGCCAGGCAATGATTGATCACATTAGACACTTTTTCACCTGTTTCTGCTGTTGCGAATATGACGTGAGAACAGGTGTCTGTGGAAACATGAACATATTTAAGAGTCCCAAACTCCTGTATATGTGTGATGTCCATCTGCCAAACATCACCAGGGATCAAACCTCGAGGGTTTACTCCCATCGGTATGGCAGGTTTGTATGTGGCACAGGAGTCACATAGTCGCACGATATCTCGTGCATCTGCTCTGGAAACATGGAAATGGTTTGCTAGTGTCCTGGCATTGACATGAAACTTATCATGGAAGGCACGGGCTCGCTCGATTGGTGTTAGTAAGGTAAAAATCCATAACGGGCGAGTGGCAGTGTCAGCAGCCGCATTCCCCTGTGCCATAGGCCCTGGCAGGGATGTATGTGCTCTTATGTGGGTGGTGAAGACCTTATGGTGTCTGTTCTGAAGCAATGTCTGGATAGACAGGAACAGTCCAGCCACTGTGGAAGTGGATCTAATTAAACCGGCAGTCTCAAGCACTTGCATAGCATTGACCACATACCTAGAATCGGAGACAATATTAATGGCTTCTGAGAACCGTTCAAGAATCATTTTAACGATCTGCAGTTCCACCACCTGAGGCTGATCAGGTTCAAATTGTATGGTAACCGGGGGCTTGCCTAGGATCACATAGGCGCCTATCCCCGTCTTGGAGCCATCTGTGTATATTGTAGTTGCTGGGACTAATGGCTCAGAGGCAGTAACCTTTGGAAAAATTATAGGGTGCTGAGTGACAAATGACAAGATAGGGTCTTTAGGGTATTGATTGTTTATATCCCCATGGAAAACACATCTCAGAATGGCCCATGTATCTATGCAGGCAGCCAGGGTCTTGATCTGGCTGGCGGTATAGGGTACTCGGATGGCTTGTGGTCCTGAGCCAAAATGTTGGACAGCTCTATCATGCGCTTCAAGGGCCAATGAAGCGACTGCCTCCGGGTAATGCTCTATGACTTTTGCCGGTGAGACCTTAGGGTGTATCCACAGTAATGGTCCTTTCTGCCAAATCACCGCTGTGGGCTGTAGACTAGTCTGTAGCAAACAGACATCAAAGGGTCGCCCTGGTTCAATTCTGTGTAAGGTAGCCCCACCTAAGGCTTTTT